GGGGGGGGGGGAGGACGCAGAGAAGGGTCGGTAGCTGCTGCTACACAGCCTGCCCGCTCATTACAGAGCCCTCGGCGCCAGCCATACAGTTGTTACATTTACACCGTGCAGGTCCATGGAAAAGCCAAGGTTATAATGAGTCTGGAAGGCAAGGTGGAGGGGAAGCGGAGGGTCCGCGCGGGCGTGCAGGCCCCCGGAGGCCGCCGCCCACCTCCCTACCCCGCGCTAAGTTTCGCAAACGTCGACCCCGCAGTCTAAACCACAGCCGCGAGGGCGGCGCGGGCCGGCGAGAGGGGAACCCTCATGCAACACATCCTGCCAACTTTGTGTCGAAACATCGAATGGAATAATTAGTTTTCGCATCACTCGGAGCATGCAACAGCCGCAGCCGCAGCAGCAGCAGCAGCAGCAGCAGCAGCAGCAGCAGCAGCCGCAGCAGCAGCAGCAGCAGCACCAGCACCAGCACCAGCAGCAGTGAGCGGGGGAGCGGGGGCCGCATAGGCGGTAGCGGGCCGCAGGGCAGAGCACCGCAGGGGGTAGTGTCGCGGTCCCTCGGGCGTAGGGTATCGCCGGTACACATGGCAATGAAGCACGCGCCAGGCGCGGCGGGGCGGGGCGGGGAGGGCGGTTAACGTGTAGGCCGCATAACACCCTCGTGTGTTGTAAGGAGCACTGCTGCAGGCTGCACGCCCCAACCCACCCCGCCCCGCCCCCGGGCGCAACCCTCGACGACCGTAAGCACAACTGAGGAGCGGGCACGCGCTGTTATATATATATGGCAAGTTACAAGAGAGAGAACCAGAGAGAGAGAGAGGGGGAGGAGAAAATATGGCTGAAAAGAGAACGGCCTCAACGAAAAATCACCCCCGCTGGAGAAGGGTGAGGGAAAGAGCGCACAGGATTTGAAATCTCACGGCAGCGGCTTTAACTCTCCCCTCTTTCTCTCTCTGCCAAAAATTGAACCGTACTCTGTATCCGCGGTAAGTTAGACTAGCGGGCGGCAGGTCCAGGCGGTCGACAGGATTCAGGAAACGAGATCTTATTGTCCGTGATGCAGAGATGCGCGGAGGGTGGACGTGTATGGAAGTTACACTGTAACTTCCGTTTATATACAGGTTGTAAAATACAGGGTGTTCCAAAGACCCCTTCCTTTATTCTGCTTATACTGTACCGTATGCAGGCGTGCGGGCGTGCTTGCCTACCCTAGCTCGCCGTTGCGCCTTGCGGCCCCGTGCAAGTATGCAACCCGGTACAGTATAAGCAAAATAAAGAAAGGGGTCTGTGGACCACCCTGTACAAAAGGAGGTAGGAGGAAGCTCAAGTGCCTCAAAGAGAAACAAAAAATAAAGATGCAACGATGCGTGACATTAAGGAAACTGAGTGAAATAAAAGTCGAAGTCAAAAGAGAGAGCGTGGATCATGTAATGCGTGCCGTTTTGAGCGGGGTGGTTCTATCCGCACTGCGTAAACGGATGCAGCAACACAGGTTGCACAGAGTACGCCCGGCCACATCCGTTCCCTGTGCAATATTGGCGAGCGCGGCGCGTCCCGCGAGGCTCTAAACGCATTGCCGATTGACTGCAGAGTGACAGCCTCGATGACGTGCGAACATTCCCCGTCTCATTGCTTCCTAATGGCGTCAGCCGGCTGGAAATGGGGTCTATGTTGGCTGCAGTTACGCCAGCCCGGGGCCGCGGGGTGGGCACAGTCCCACACCCACACTGGAAACGCACGCTTGTAGGTGAGGTGTGTGGCTCATAATCACTGAAAACCTTTGAGTGAGATGTCGTGCTCGAAACGAGTAAGACAATTTCGCCTCGCTCAATCAGACCGCACCGAGAGAAGCTATTAGTCCGTATGACTAAATTCGTGTTGAGGGAAATAAAATTTACTCCCTAAATCCAACGAAACGTTTAATCAAGCTTTTACAATTAAATGTGATCAGCCCAACCAAAAATATTGTCAAACTGATTACTTTATATCGACCTGACTAAATTATCCAATCAACACAATTAAAATTTGGTCAACGGAAATAAAATTTCGTTGGTTTTCTCAACACTAAATTTCGTTGAGTTGAACAATCGGTTTTCTGGGTGCGATGACTATAAGGCTCACCCTATTTCAGTCACATGCACCGAATTCTCACTCTGAAGGAGTGAGATTTCCTTGACCGCACCGAATTGCAGTGGGGGACCTCACTCTCATTAGGTAAGGACCGCAAGTTATGACTCAAATTTAGTGAGAGTTAGCTCAGGACAGCGATATTTTTTGTGTCACTGATCTCGCTCTCCTGAGAGCAAGATATCTGCCTCTAGGATTTTCAAACATTCGTATGTAAGGGAGTTGAGGTGTGAAATTTCCTTTGAAATTCACACACTTGGGGCGATGTGTACGAATGTGCTTGGGTTCCCGGAGCACATGCCTGCTCGAAGCTAACTCCGAGTGCGCACAGCCATGTCGTCGGCACGCGACTGAAAATTGCATTTTCACTCACATCTTGTCGGTCGCAAAGTTAATAAAGTAAACAAGAAAAAGAAATGAGAACTCCCTGCGACCCGCGACGGTGGCAACGACCGAGAAAACTGGTAAATGCGTGGCCGAGACAGGGGAGATTATAAAGAAAAGGGGTGAGGGGGTGAGCGCAGCAGCAGCAAGGTTGCCAACAGGGGACCTCCCCCGTCGCCGCTGGGGTAGGACGGAAGGGGGAGAGGAGGGAGAAGAGGGGCGAGCAGGGCGTTCCGAGGCAGTTTGAACCAAGGTCGGTCGGGTGGCGGTGCCAATGGAGACCCGAGCGCGCGCAGCGAGCGGCTGCAGCAGGGGTTGGGGGAGAGGGGGGTGGCAATGTGGTTGTCGTCGTTCGAGACGAGCAGTAAGCGCACATGGAAAAAATACGTTGTCGAAGTAGTCCACTTTGTTCGATAAACCCTTAAGACGATAAGTTAAAATTTATATACGGTTTTGGTGCTGAGCGCCAATTTGTACTTAGGCA